TATATTTGTCTGATCACATTCAGGAGAAGGGGGTCGCTTTGCAAAAAGCTTGCTGTGAAAAATAGGCATTAAATGTTTCAAGCCATCAAGGGTGTTTTGGTGTTTCCACGTCAGACACGTGCCAAGAGGTCTGAAGGTCGGCTGCCACCTGCCGCCGTGCTGTGCCCTGCCTCTTCTTTGTTATGGCCACAGGCGGTGTGTTCTTCTGCACCCCTGACCAGCCCAAACATCTTTTCAAGAGGCCTTAATTAAGTCACCGCTGCTCCTGCCCTCAGATTTGCCACTGGCAAGGGAGACCGTGGGGCTAATGGTTTTGTAGGAGTTCAGCAGATATTTTGAAAATTGGGGTTGTTGGGGTTTTTTCAAACATTGTAGTTTAAAGTAAGAACACACCCCAATCCTGACATCGATCTGACCCTATGGAAACAATGCACGCTCTCCCTCCTTCCAGAATCAACGAGAACCAACGAGCCTGCTGAGATTTACCTATTCTCTCTCCCCCACTGGCCCTTCTCCTCCCTTCAGAAGTAGCCCGATACATGCCATAACCTTTCTCATTCTCGGCCTTTCTGCACTCGTGATTTACAATGTTATAACGTTTACTGCAGGACCTGACAATGTCTGCAAATGGCACAAAAAAATGACATCGGGAGCCGAGGTCAGGGCAGTCCCCCCACCTGATTGGCCTTATCGTCTTTCTCTCAAAAAATCCGACTTCTCCCTGTCCTTATGTTTCCTCTCCATCTACTCAGCACCCTCGTCTCACCATTAAATGATGGTTACAGTCATCATTTCCAACATGTTCATTGCTAGGGGGCAGCTTCAAGGTGTAATAACATTTTTGAAGGACACTCTGGAAGGAGAGCACGGAGTGACCTTCAGACAGATACTATTATTTCCTCCAACCGTGTGCAAGAAGTCGATGATGATTTGGAAACCAGTTCTGAAAGTCTGCCAGTCATTGACAGGGTCCTTTTAATATCTCCTACTCTTCAAAGCTTTTCCACACATATTATTCCTTTTGAACTTCCAAACACCCTTGTAAAGCAGGTAGACTAAGTATTGGTGTCATTAGTTTACCGAGTATGATGCTAAGCCACAGAGAGGTTAGCTGAGTATCCAAAGGTCACACAGCCAGGTAGCATCAGCCTTAGTAGCACTGATCGTGGCTCTGCAGGCTCCCAAAATAAATCATTTTCCTGACCACAGACGCAATTCTCAAATTCCATCTGCTGGACGTTAATGGCTGCATGGCACTTTCCATGAATGTCCTCTGGTCTCTAATTACCAGCCTGGCTCAGTCCAAGTGAATCCCAGAACCTAAGACTTAGCTTTTTCTGCTGACCTTCTCTAACACATAGCAACATAAGGAGGGTGCTTACAGTCTGCCATCTCATGTTTTGGCTATAACTGTTTTGGGGCATTTTGAGGGGTGTTATATTTGGGCTTCTGGACTGTACTAACCCTATACCAAAAGTACACTTTAAATATCAAATAAGGAGGAGGAAAAGTCTTAAAGGATCTAAAAGGTACATCCAAGCGTCCCAACTGGGAAATAAAGACTCTTTTAATGTATTCTATTCTGCATGCTCTAAGCTTTAAACCATTTTGCTCTTAAACCACAGTTTCTGCTGTCATATTGAGAAGCATGAGTATCAGAGAAAGGAGATGGGCACTGGGCTCTGGCGACAAGACCTTCCATCACGGGAACTTTAGGAAGAAAGGTCCCGGGGTCCGTCATGCCAGGGAGCTCCGCGCTGCTCTCGGCCAGCGGGAGGAGCTGCGAGGCTTCCTTCATCACTCCAGCATGAGGCTCACAGCACCGCCCCCCAGATCACAGGCCACCAAGTGTCCCTCCAAAGACCCACAAATGGGCCTTTCGGACTAACGATGTGGAAAGCTCTTGAGTCGTGTTTCTTATCCAAGGCGTTTCTGGTTGACACCACTCAGCAGAGTTGCTTTCGTCGTAGCTTTTCCTGCTTGGACACCACCACCAAATGCACCCCAGTGATGCCCTCCCCAGAGGCTGCCCACTGCCTCTGGAATCAAGTCCAAATCCCTCTCCCCAGTATATAGGGCTCCTCATAACACAGTCCACGGCCACCAGCTTCCTGCCTGACACTATTCTGTGTGTTTGACGCAAATTCGAGGATTTCCCATTCTTCACAAACACCCTGAGGCTCCCCACTGTCTCATTTGTTCAAGTCACTTCCGCCTGGAGTACTGTATCCCTTCTCAGCCCATCTGACTCCTACTTAGTGTCAAAGGCCAGCAAAGACCTTACTTTGCCCCCACATTTAACTATTTATATACAGGCTTTCGCCCTCCTTTTAAATTACGTTAGATAGAACTTAATGCAACAAATTTGCTCATGGTAGATGCTCGATCAGTTTAGCTGGGTAAGTGGATAAATCACATGCGTCCACACCACAATCTCACAAGGCAGGAAGGTGTGATAGCATTTCGTCGACAGCCCTGCCCAATGGCAGTCGGTCAATCAGTAGAACTTTAGCAAGAAAGCCAGCCCTTTTGCAGTTTGCTCTTTGCAACCAGTCTGTTTTTCTCCAATTTATGACCCGTGGCCTTAATCATTTTACCCCACTACATCAGCGCATCGTTAGAAAGATTTTCCCTTAGGATTCACAAAGTTTTGAAGTGATAACAATACAGATTTTTTTTTCCTAGCAAGATTTTGTCATTCCCACACAACCGTGTGGTTTAAAAGTAGTTAAGGGGGACAAATCCCAAATAAAAAGTCAAGATCCCAAATGAAGGACAGGGACCTGTCCTACAAAGGGAGATTGCCAGCTCCACCTCGGATTCCCAGAGCACGCCCAGCGTGGCAATCTCAGTGACCAACCACTCCCATGTGCTCCGTCACTAAATGGATTCCTGAAGTGTGCCTGGAGATCTGACCTAATGAGATGCAATGAGCAGGGTCACCAAGGCTGCTGAAAGCATGAGTCTGCGTTTCTCGGGTCAGTGTAACAGAATCTGTGCCGTGCACGGTGCAGGGTGGGCCAGGAGGCTATCTGGTAGCCAAGGGCACTGCTGGGGCTTTAGAATAACAGCACGAGGCTGTAATCGGATGCCACCCCCAGGGTGTTTAGCCAGTTAATCATCTCAGTCATCCATCTTTTATTCATAAACTGGACGAATGACGTTCTCTTTGGCTGTTCACTTCGCCCTTTCAGGTTACACCAATGCTTTTGCTGTTCCAACTTCTTCCTTTATGTCCCATAAAATGCACCTGACATAGTTAAAGCATCTTGTCACCGTGGATGTCAGTACGGACACTGGACTGGGAGGGCCCGATCACTGTTGCTCCCAGAGCCAGCGGGAACATCTCTAGTTTAAAGCCAAGGCTTTGTGTGGTTCCTCTTAACCTCGTTAAAAACCACAAATCCACAGAGATATAATCTGATACTACCCAGTAGACCTTATTGTTATCTCAACCATCCATTTATAGCAGCCTTGAAGAAGATTAACAATGGTAGGATTCTTTGTTTTATGTCTTAAATGTTAGAAATTTAACAGGATATTCTTAGCAATACCAGATCCATCAAACTTGATCACCAGGGGAGCCCACTCGCGTGGTGAGTCCACACCATCTCATGGGATGTGCTCTTTCCACAAAGAGTACCTTGACCCTGAGTCAGCAGACAGAAATGCGAAGCCTGAACCAGGAATGTTAGCAAGTGACCTCTGGGCCAGGACTCTTACCTCATCCCTTGACACTGATGTAGCCGGCTTTGTAAAGAAGGGATTAAGAACAAAGACTTTGGAATCAGACTTCTGGGACTGGCCCTCACTAGCTATACAGCCTTAACGAATCTCTCAGGACCTCAGTTTCCTCACCTGCAAAATGCGCATAGTAATAGCAATACTAACATACACGGTTACTGTGATAACTGAATGAATGAATACCCAGGAGGTGCAGCCAGGAAATGTTAGCTGTTATCCGGACTGCCTTGAATTTAGTTGTGACCCATTGTCTTGGGGGTTCACACGGGTCCTGGGAAAACATGACTAGTTCACCGGTAACAGGGAGAAAGAAAACATACTGTATCTTCTTTTTCTTTTTTATGTCCAAGTCTCTAGATCAGTGATTCTCAAAGTACGATCTGGGGAAATCTCTGGAAATCCCCAAGAATCAAGATGCCAAGACCCACGTCCTTAAGCGTGAAACTATTTTTGTAAAAACAGTAAAATGCTATTTGCCTTTTTTCACTCTCATTCTTTCTTGAGTGTAAAGTGGAATTCTCCAGAGGCTACACACTGTGCAGTGATGTCATCACTTAGTTAATGGAGTGTGTGCTTGTACTTTCTTGTGCTTTTTCTTAATATCCCTCAGTCATCATTTCTAACACAGTAACGAGCAGTAACTATAGTCCGCATAAACAAATCTCTTTGGGGTACTCAATAATTTTTTTTTTAACCAGCAAAATGGGTTTATTTGGGAGCAGTGAAGAATTGCAGTGCGGAACATGCAACCGTGCAAGCCATATGCAAATCCAACAAAGCAAAGCAAAGCAAACTAATTTATGAGGAGAAGGGGAGGTTGGAAGAGGTTTTGATAAAAAGTCCATTGGAGGAAACTGGGAGTTCAAAGTATAATGGCTTTTAATTGGCTGAGCTGTGACAGTCTCTCATTGGCTGAGCTGTTGCCAGGTAGGGAAGAGACCCTTCCTCCTCCCGCAGGCATTGGTAGTAAAACAGTGTCACTTGCAGCCGCAGATGCGTGGTATGGGGTATGTCTCTTCCCAACAGATTCCTTTTGGATCTGTATGGACCTTGATTGGTACCCAGTGATTATTAAAAGTTTAAAAGGGTCCCATGACCAAAAAGCTTGAGAACCTCTGCTAGACTATCTCCCCCAAAGTCCCCCTCCCCACTCCATGTCAAAAACCATAGTGCAAAAATACCAAAGTCTGAGACTCTGGCCCCAGAGCTGGGCCCCTGAAGCTGCTCTGCCTGCATTTTGTCCTTGTGTGTTTCAGGCTGTCCGGGTCCGACTTGCCCGGCGAGGAGTGGCTGTGGGATTATGAGAAGCCTGGCCACCGCCGGTCCGTGATTAGAAGAGTCAAGAGGTTCCTGAGCGCCCACGAGCACCCCTCCAGCCCCAGGCGGAGAAGCTACGGGAGGCAGGCCAGCGACAGCTCCATGTTCCTCCCGCACAGCGACCTCAGCCCGGCCAGGGATCTGCTGGCCGTGCCCCCGAGAAGCCCCCACCTGTGCCTCGGCTGCCTGGAAGCAAGCCCACACCGCCGAGGGGGGGCCCCCGCTGCACTCCAGCCTCGGAGAGCTGTCCACCATCCGAGAGACCAGCCAGACAGGCACGATACAGAGCCTGACTCCCCAGTCCAGTGTGATGGGCTCCCCCACCAAAATGCCACGGGTCCCCGAGGTACAGGTCACAGCACGGGTGCCCCTGGCGGAGGGCGACCACCACGACTCCACCACCTCCATCCAGAGCTCTGACTTTACTGGGCTTCAGCCGGGCGAGACTGAGCAGGAGGACCCAGTGGGGTTGATCCTGTTCACCTCTGAGAAAGGATCACTTCCGAGAGACCCCAGTTCCCAGACAGCTTCAACCAAAGATGAGAGAAACATCCTCATGTCTGCCTCCCAGGAAGACCCTCACGACAATGACACGCCCCCCAAACGGTGGAGCCTCCCAGGGTCCAGCCGCACCTCCCTGGCAGGCCGAAGTCCACATCCTGTGAGCCCTGAGCCGCTTCTTTTACTTGACACAGAAACATCCTCAGAGACCAGTGGAATCAACACTGTGGCTGGCTCACGAGTCTCTCCCGACGTGCTGTATTTAATGGAAAACTTGGACACCAGGGAAACCGACATCATCGAGTTTAACAACGAGCAGACAGAGGAGTCACCCAAAGGAAAGCCAGAACGTTCTAGGACCTGGTTCTAGCCTTGAGTCTTACTTACCTGAAAGTTCAGCATTAGTTCCAGAGCATACCTGACAGCTAATTTTTTTCTAAACGATCACCCTGTATAAGCTACTGAAAACTCTGAAGGGCATTATGATCCTGACTTTTTGAGAACTGAGAAAATCAAACACATTCGCACCATCTATCACAAAGTGACATTCGTGGAACTTAAGCAGGCTACAGTGATGTGTCCTAACCAAATAAGGGAACTTAAAAATAAGCACATGCCTTATAAATTCATAGATTGTTAGCTGTGCAAAGGGCCTTACAGATCATAGTCCAGTCCCCCTAGTTTTGCCAATAGGGAGACAAAAAATTCTCTTTTCTCCTTTTTTTTCTTTCTTTCTTCTTTTCTTCAGTTATAAAGACAGAGAGGTGGATCATGTGATGCCTCAAAAGCCCCTCCCCAATCACGATTCCCTGTTTGAGGCTTTCTAATCATCTCAATCCCACTTTTATATCTGTTATCATTTCCTAATTCTTAAGCTTCGCCAGCATCGGAAAGCTCCATCTCCCTTCAGTCCCCTTTTCTACCTTCACGACTTCATTCTCCTCTCTTCCCCCTTTATTCTCTCGTCCTTTTGTCCTCTCTTCTCCCTGCTCTTGCTCCTCCAGTGACTCTCATCTGCCCCACCTTTCAGGTAATAGTATTTTCTTCTGTCCGTCTCTGCTGCTTGCTTCTTGCCATGGGTTTCAAAGTCCCGGGCAAGGCCTCCCGCAGAGCAGTCAAGGTGTCAGCAAAGCCAGCCTGACACTGTCCAGCCTGGCAATGGAAACGGTGTGGATGCCGCGGCTGCCCACCACACCCTGGGCCGCCAGGCCGCCTCCTTCCGCGTCCTCTCTTAGGTCTTGAACACTGGAGAAAACCGAAGCCAAGAGGACATGAAACCTGCATAACCAGATGCCACAGAACCAAATAGCAAGGCTTGAAACGGTCTCACTCAGGCTCTTAAAGCAGGAGTCCCAGTCGTGTCGCGGCATGGGACCACGTGCCGGCCGGGTCGGCCGGGATGCGGTAGGGTACTGGAGCTGGGAGGTGAAGGCGGTCCAGGACCGTACCATGGGGAGGGCTCGCATCCTCCGAGGAGCTCTTAGGGTGGCTGTGTGTTGGGGTCTCCCAACTTTGTCTGGAAGGCCATGCTGCTCTCACTATTTCTGTCATGTAAAGATGCTTGACTGCATATGGCTTAAGAAATAAACTAGCCCTAATTACTGCTGCTTACTGAGTGTTCAGAGTCCCAGGCAGCAGCGCTTAAAGCTCACAGATAATCCCACTAATCCTCATGGCAATCCTAAGAATTGATATACCATTACGTCCATTTTAAAGATGAGGAGAGTGGGGAGGGGATAGCTCAGTGGCAGAGTGCCTGCCCAGCATGCACAGGGTCCTGGGTTCAATCCCCAGTACCTCCACTTGAAAAATAAGTCAATAAATGGACCTAATTATCTCCTCCCCTAAAAAAATTTTTTTTAATAAAAATTTTTAAAAAAATGATGAAGAGAACAGAGGCTTTAGAGAAGGCAAGTAATCTGACTAACGTCACACAGCCCGGAAGTGGCAGAGCTCAGATTCAAGCCCAGGTTTATCTGACTTAAGAGCCCCCTCTTTCGCCCAGAGCACTTCATCCCTGGGCTGTGCTGAATGGAGGGTCCCAGACCTGCCAGCAGTTTGCCCAGAATTCCGGACGATGCCCCACAGGAGCCAGGCCCAAATCTCTCCAGCCTTGGAGGCCTGTCTGGGTCCTCCCTGCTTAATTAAGTCTACCTGGGTCTTTTATGCATGTGTCCGGGATGGCAGTGCCCCACCTTGGAGCCCAGCTATGGTCCCCTTCATTTTTCTAACAGAAGAAAGTTAGCAGGACCCTCCCTTCCCTTCCCCAACTCCTCCCAATACGCAATGTTATAATTAGCACATTTTGTTACAAGGCGTCGCATCCGACTGGGCCACCGCAGCTGCAGGACAGCAACGACATTTACTTGAACTGGCTTTTCTCAAAGGACTGAAAGGAAGTACGTTATTGGAAGAGCTGCTACACACTGATGGTTCTCTGTGTCAGTCTGTGGCGTCAGCAGCGGTGAAAGCACCCAGATCCCCGAAGCACTGTGCCTGGACTATGCACTCAAGCCCCCGTACACCACGGCTAACACGCAGGAACCCACACCTCTCCCAGCCTCTTCGTCCTATCTTCTTGGACGTTTCAACTGAAGTTTTCTACTCTCTTCTCTTGGCTTTGTCTGTTGCTCAAATTCAAGTAAGTCTTTACTTAGCTGCTTTCGAAATAAAATCGATTTTTCTTCCAAAATCCAACGTGATAAATTACACACAGAGTCACACGTTTTGTGGGGACCAGGAGGGTCCATGTAACTCTGCTTGCATCCATCCCTTAGGTACCTTCATCCAAAGAGTCATCTCGTTTCCTTGCTGTTTCATCAACATCTGAGGTGGCCTCCGTTTACTCCTTGCACCGCAAACTGGATGATGATTGTTCGGGTGAGCCCACGTGGTGGAACTCAGGTTTTACCCGACACGGACCAAAGCTGCAAAAACAGAACGATTTCTTCTCGTGTGCCTGGTTTTACTGACTGCCTCGGCCATTTCCTCCTGAGCTCTGGAAACTTCCACCCATTGGATGAATGGTCACAGCGTCCAGCGGCTTAGTGTTCGGGCTTATTCCTTCCAAGAACAGGCTCAGTGCTGGTCTGCATTAGCTGTAACCCGCCAGCCAGGGGCGCAGTGTGGCCAGGCCCCCTACTGCAGTCTCTGGTCTCCAGAGATGAGAACTCTGCCCTGATGCCGGCATCCGCAGGCCAGAAAGATAAAGGCCCATGAACCTTTTCTCTGTCCCCCAGGAATTTAGGGAGGACTGCTCCCGTCAAAACAAAGAAGGCTATTTTCCCTGCCCTTTTAACGGTCGGCTTCTTGGGGCAGGCATCCATTTCGGCCCAGGTCAGCTAAGCTGTGAAAAACACATTTCAAATAGAATGGGGAAATATCAAATTTACCATGGGTTTAGAGAAGACTCAAACATACAGCCCTCTTTTTTAGTGTTTCCCCTCCAGCTTCCACTGTCTCCAGGGAAAGTGGTTCAATCCTCAAGCATCATTCTGAGATCTTCTTACCATGGAGTCTCCTCTCAGAATCTGCTGAACCCAGGCAGCCATGGGGGTGATGGAACGGGGACTACCTAGCCTGTGACTCCCCTCGAGTAGCTTTATGAACTTGAACGAGGCGCCGCCCTTCAGTCTCTCATGTTCTCATCTGGGAAATGGGCTCTTCTCTGCGCCGTCTCACTGGCCATGGCGAGAAGTGCAGGGAGTGGATGTGAAAAGGCAGGGATCCCCGGGCATTGCTGGGACAGGTGCCCTCAGGGATTCACCACCGACTGCAAAACAAAGGACTTCGTTCTCCCATCTTCATTCAGGCATTTGCTTGTAGGACCCCCTTCTTCTCTTCTCCAAGATTCTCATCTCTTTCATCCAGAATGCTCGCCATTTCTCTTTTGGCTTCATTTTTTTTTCTTTCATACGCTTTCCAACCTCTCTCCCCTCTCCTCCTTCTCCCCAGTGTATTTCTCACTCCTTCACTTGCCGCAGCACCACGGCAATCAGTTCTGCCCCTAACCCATCATGTGTATCAGTCCCCTCGATCCAAATGTGGAACTAGGGAAAAATTAATTGTCTTTGTTCTTTCCACTGTAATTCTAGAGGATTTAGCATCCTTGGTTTGCCATTAGACAAGGACCCTCTTAGAGCATCAAATCTCCCTACACCTGGTCCTAAGTAGGAATAATAAATATAACTTCCAAAAAAATTCCTAAGCAAGAGGCAAATTAGAACCTAATTCCCTTCCCTGTTCACAATCATCATCTCCATGGTCGACACAGTCCTTTACTGAAGTGCTGTGGTCTGAATAGGAATAACCAAGGATTTTCCTCATTTTGTCTTATCAGACGTATCTCAGGTCCTCAATCCTTTCACAGGGCTTTCTGTTTTCCTTAGTTCTTTTCCACTAAATGGCTATTGAGTCGAAGGAACCAGTTCACAAATACTGGAACTGATCTTAGAAGACCCAGAAGAAGGGTGTGTGTGGCCAGCTCATCCCCTGTTGTAGCAAAAAAGAAAACTGAAGAAATGACCCTGGGAAATAGAGGCACAAATAACGTATTTGTTAATTGAGTTAATTACTCAATTAACTCCAACTGGAGATGCAGGTTTTGTGTTCTGTGTCTGAGTTAGTTTAGAGAACCGGCCCAATTCTTCCTTTCACCACAGGAAGATCTGGCCAGGTGGTTCCCTGCAAGCATCATCTCTGAATTTCTCATTTTAGACGTTTACCTCACAGAGGCAGCCAAAGGCATGTTGTCTCCTGGATCCTGAAAACAGGTAAGAGCATTTCTAAAATAGAGTCTTGTTCAGAAATGCAGTGTGCCCCAAGTTCTTTCCCGAGCTAGTGGTTGTTCCCCTGAGGCGACTGTGCACCCAGGGAACATTTGGCAACATCTGGAGACATTCAGGGCTGTCACGCTGGGCAGTGTTACCAGCGTCTAGGTGAGTTAAGGCCAGAGATGCTGCAACGCACAGGACAGATGCCCACAACAACCATCAAGCCGAAGACAGGTTGGGAAACCTGAGTTAGGCCAGTGGGAAGGTAAAAATGAGACAACCAACAAAGAGATGAATCAAGAGAGATGAACTAGAGAAAGAAACAGAACTAGAAGAGAACAGGCAAACCCAGTGAGTGCGAAATTCCTATTCTGTGCATAGGCTATGAACTAGTAACCATTTCTCCCTTGATGTTAAAGGATCAAATCCAGAAAAATCAGATGGGAGCCCCGAGGGGCACCTTCAGGGAATGCCTCGGATGGCTCTCACCAGGAAGAGTGATTAAATGCCATCACTAGCATGACTAGACTTTTCTGAGAATGCAGTTTATATAAAGGGTGACAACAATTTATGATGCCAAATATTATATAAGAATTCGTGCCAATAAACTGCTAGACACTGGATGGACACCTGATCCAGCTTTGGCCTTTATATATGTCTTACTTAGGACCAAACAAATAAACCATATCTTCTGGCAGATGATTTGGCATTTATTTTTTTTACTAGTAAATAGGTACCCTGGGTAGGATCTGTCTGCCTCCTTTGCGAACTCATGAGCCAAGGAAGCTCATGGATTCCCCCACCTCCTGCATGCCTCCAGCACTCCCAGGAGAATAAATGAGGAAACTGGTGAAGTTCTGGGTGATGTCTCCAGGGGGACTTTTATTCATAGTCCTTCGTGAAACATTAAGCAACTGCTGTGTGTCAGGCATTCAGCGAAAGCCAGGTGGGTGGGTGTTGGGCCCCTCTCCCCTCCTCATCCATCTGTCACTCTTCTGCAGATAAACAGAGAAATATCAAAATGCCCTCGGAAGTCCACCAGCTTAATGTTTGTATGTTTGTTTGTCTGTTTCCTTTCATCCCCAATCCTGTTCTCCCTCCCAACCATCCTAATGTATTCAATGTAAAGCCCTTTGTCTGTGTACATTCTTACAAAAAGTGTATTAGTGTTTTGTGTGCAAGTATTCTCAGCTTATGCAGATGTTCATACTACTGGCCTCATCTGTTTCTTTGTTGGTTTGTTGGATTGTTTTTCACTCCATACAATGTTTTTAAGATCCTCCCCAGTTTCCTGTGTACATCTAATCCACTGTTTCCAACTCACTCCTGCGTGGTCTAAGGTGTCTTATAGCTGGTTTATCTGCTTCCCAGTTTGCCTCCATCCCCTCCACGGAAGCACCCTTGGACACGTTCCTTTATAACCCTGTAGGAGAGTTTCTTAGGGGTGCACACGCATGAGCAGAGTCTCCGGGTCACAGGGTCTTAATATACTGAACCTGACTCTATTGCCAAAAGGCTCTCCGGAATGACAGCACAGACTGGCACCCCATCTCCGCCCCCAGCAGCTCGCTGTGTCTCCACTTCCTTCCCCACCCCCACCACATGCTTGGCATCACCTAGATTTCTAATTTTTCCAGTCCCACAGGTGTGAAGTGGCGCCGGCTGGATGTTTGCCTGGCATTCACCTGCCAGTTAAACATTACCGATGACTATACAACATTCATCTGGTTTATAAACGACGTCAAGTGTCTCTTCATGTGCTGAATTCTTTTCGGACTCCTCTTTCCTCTTCTGAAAATTGCCTTTTCAGATTCTTTGCCCCTTTAGCTAACAGGGGTC